AATTAAAGTATCTGGTATTGTTTGATTACAGGGTTGGCTTTACTGACTTTAGCACTTTGTGGACAGAGAGCAGGCAGCTGAGAGGCAAAGCGTGCCTTTATTTTCTGGGAGGTTTTTGCCCACTTCCCAGGTCAGTGTGGGGATTACTCCTCTCATCCTTGTTTTGCACTGAAGCATCTAAGCCTTAATGGGGTAAGATAGACAGGGGAACTTACATTTATTAAACATCTACTATGTGCCAGACCCTTTAAATACTCAATCTCACTTTGTTTTCCCAGAAACCCCAAAAGGTCAATATACACGACTACATTTGATAACCATGAATGCTGAGGCTCATCAGTAAATTCAATAAGTTGCTTACAATGTCATCCCCAATTAGGGATGAAGGTAAGGTTTAATTCAAGTCTTCTCAACTCCAAAGGCTGTGTTCAATTCAATATAGAGGCTACCTCCTCTTTCTGGCACAAATTTACAGCTAAATATGTAACAGGCACTGTTTTAAGTACTTTAAGTAGTACAACCAAGACTGTTAGCTAACTATCCACTTCCATTCTTCCCTTCTTTACTAACAAAATCCCAAGTTTTTATTGTGAGTAGCACCATGCCTAACCACAGATCAGCATTTCCCAGTTTCCTTTGCAGTTAAGGAGGACCCAAAAGATCTAAAAAGTATTGGTTGGAACTACCAGGAAATGTCCTGAAAAGATATTGGCCCATGTGAGAGACAGGACTTCATGTCCTCTGTCCCTCCACCTTTCTTTCTGCTTCTGGTCTAGAATGTATACTGAGAATTGGTACCTGGCAGCTATGTTGAACCACGAGGTACATGAGGCACATGAGGTGACCCTGAGAATGGAAGCCAGTGCTAAAAATGGTGGAGTAGAAGAGTAGAAGTAACCTTAGGTTCCTGACAACTGTGGAACTACCTTGCAAATACTGGACTGCCAATCTTTAAAATTATTTTGAATAAGAGAAGTATAAGCCTCTACTGATTTCAGTTACTTTTCTGTTACTTTCATGATTATACTTGGAATATAATCTTAACTCTATACCTATAGATTCTCATTTAATCCTCCAATAGTTCTACATGGTATTATTTTCATTCCTAGGTTTTTCAGGTGAAATAATTGAAACACAGAAAGGTTAAGCAACATGCCCTAGATCACTGAGCTAGTATATAAAAGAGAGTGGGCTTGAACCCATTCCAACTTCTGCAACACTCATGCTCTTAATAATCATATTAGACTGCCGAGTCGGACTACACATCAAAGACTATTTTCCCCAAGCTGAAGAACTTTCATGTCTCGGTGGAATTTTCCTTCGGAATCAAACTTTATTTCTGATGGCTTGAGCCCTATTTGCATCTGGCATGAGGTTAGTTTTTCACTTTGTAAGAAATAACATTCTAATGGGTTTTTAAGGGCCCAGAAGACTTGTTAGCCATTCCCTGGCTGCCGCAGGACAAACTCATTAAAAACATCTGAACAAAACCAACAGAACTTGAAGGGCAACAAGAAAATGAAGACACTCTGGGGGTGGAGTTAGAGAATCCTTATGGTAAAGCACAGATGCTAATGGGTCCACTCACACAACTGGAGGTGGAACTCTGTGACCAAGACATTTCACCCGTTTGCATGACAGGGTCTCACAGGTTGATAACAAGAATTGCAGTCACTTACTCATTATCAGAGTTGCTGTCAAGAAAACAATTGGGATATCCCTAGAGTTTTCTCTTAATGGGATTTTACCTCTGTGGGAAAGGGTTTGCTAAGTATATGAATGAAGCAGACAAAATTGGAGGAAAAATATTTGCTGAGCTAAAGAGAGGAAATTATTTTGCAACCCTGGAAAAGTACCAATTACAGGAAAATACGGTTTATCCAGAGTACTATCAGTTGGGGTTTGCTATTAATTTTTTCTGTAAAATGGGGATAATCACACTGATGTTTCAAGGCGATGGCAAGGAACATGCTAAATATACCATACGGAGGTGACGTAGCACAGAGACTACCACAGTGATAGAAATACATTGAGATATGCTTGTATTCTTTTACGGGGCTCTGAGGGCCTAGGACTTGGCCACTGTGTTTTCTTTTCTGGTCTTTGGGGAGCAGACTGTAGAACATACAGAGACCATTTAAAAAATAATGAACAGAAAAAAGCAATAAACTCTCCATTTCCCTAAACAACCCAGGCACAGAGCAGGAAGCATTGGCTCCAGTATCTGCAAATAACCTTGCAGATTTTCAGACTACTTGGTTTTCAGAAGCCCACCTAAGTAAATCTCCCAACCCCTGGATCATGTCAAGAGGCAAGGCAGCACAGCACAGCAGTGAACATCTCGGCTCCAATACCAGTTGACCTGGGTTTAAATTTTTGCTCTTTACTTACTTGGCCATTTTAGTTAAATATTTGTGAAATGGAGTTAGTAATAATATGTATAGTTGACTGTGGTGAGTGTTCAATCAGATAATACACATGGGGGCTAGAAGAATGTCTAGCACATAGTTAGTGGTTAATAATTAGAGGTCAGTGTTATTGATTTTAACTATTAGCACAGAGTATGGCATAATTTCCTTCTTCCCCTTCCTTCTGTGACAGCTCCATCATGGTGGGTCCCAGTCTTGTGTGGTGGAAGCAAAGTAGATGTCATAAGGAAGTCAGGAGCCCAGCCCTCAGGCTCTATGGAGATAAAGGCCCTGATAAAAGATCTGGTTTGCTTCCTTTAAAAGATTAGAGCATAAACTTTGAAACCAGGCCTACTTGGGTTTAAATTCTGATTTCTCTGATGACCAGCTGGCACTGTAACCTTTAGCAAGATCTCAGGACCTCAGAATGGACATGTACTGTCATGTGTTGCATAACCACATTTTGATCTATGATGGACCATATATACAATGGTGGTCCCAAAAGATTATACTACTGTATTTTTTAACTGTACCTTTTCTATGTTTAGATATGTGTAGATACACAAAGCTTACAATTGTGCTACAATTGCCAACAGTATCCATATAGTAACATGCTGTACAGGTTTGTAGCCCAGGAGCAATAGGCTATACCATATAGCCAAGGTGTGTAGTAGGCTGTGCCATCTAGGTTTGTCTAAGTACACTCTGTGATATTCCCACCATGACAAAATTACCTACTGATTCATTTCTTGGAGTATATCCTTGTTGTTAAATGATGCATTTAACATGGTTGTTAATTTTTTACTAATTGAGGAGTAAAAGCTCAAGTAAAATAACTCTTCTTTGTTTAGCTTTAAACTTTGTAATCAGCGGCCTTGTCAATTGCAAGGTTGTTCTGAGCTGACAGGCTAATTGGAGAAATGGTCCATGTGATTTTATTTGGAGGAGGACTGCATAAAAAACTATTCCAAACTTTAGTGGCTTAAAACAACAACCATTTATTTAGCTGATGACTCTGACAGTTGCTAATTTGGTCTGGGCTCAGCAGGAAGTTCTTCTGCTGGTCTTAGATGGGTTCACTCATGTGTCTGCACTTAATTGCCAGTCAGTGAGACGGCTCTGTTTCTGGGGATTAACTGGCTATTGGTGGGGCCATAAAGCAACATTCATCATGCTAGAGCAGGCAGTCATGGGGTTATGGGAGAAGCAAGAAAGGATGTGTCAATACACAAACACTTCTCAAGTTTCCTCTTGCATCACAATGGCCAAAGCAAGTCACATAGCCACCACCAGAGTATAGAGAGAACTTCCCAAGGGTGTAGGATGAGGTGAACAATCAGAACCACTACTTTTAACAATCTACAACAATCACCATAGAACCTGTTTTGGGAGAAATAATTCATTTCTGAAATTGGCATCTTGGACATACACATGAGACCAAAGTGCCTTTCCTACTATATTCCAAAGAGAAATTATTCAGTATGACACTTGGACAATGGCTGAATAAAGAGTTTTCCAGTTACTAACCAATTGAAATGCTGTATATTGCATAGAGATTTCCTCAATTTTTGAATTAAAGCCCTGGAATAGGGGATTTCTATGTCTCTTTAAACCCTGACATTCTATGAATCTATACTTTTCCATTCCAATTTTAGAATAGCTAAAGCCCAGGTCAAAAAAGCTCTGTTTCTTGTCCAGTGAGGCAGTCAGGAAATTTCAGCCCATTGCAATGAGCAACTTGTCAACCATGAAGTCTGAGTGACATGACCATGGATTAAAATGTCTCAAGAAGTAGTGAGCTCTCTGTTACAGAAGGTGATCAAACATAGACTGGTTAGCCAATTTAAGAAATAATCAAAAGCTGTGGTTTTAATTCTATGTGTATAAGGAGACATATTTTATGTTTATATTGCTTCCAGGAATTCTGATGCCCTCCCCAAGACAGGCCATGCAGAAAAGTGGAATCTGTCCTTGTATTAAGTTAAAAAAAAAAAAAAAAGATTATATGCATTTAACAACAAGTAAGCACTTAATATAAACTAATTTAAGTACTTTCACATCTTATACCCTTCTTTACTCTAGTGCCAGTAACTTCTTTCTACAAAGGGAAAACAAAAGCTTACAGATTTTGCTCAAAGTTATTCTCAATTAGTAACTGTCCAAGTGGTTCTTTCACTTTCAACTAAGTGGTTCTTTTCATGTTCCTGGTAACCTTCTTTCTTTCCTCCCATTATTCATTCATTTGTTCAGTCTGTCTATCATTTGATCTTCATTTTTAATGAAATATATGTTAAATGTGGGGAAGGATAGGCATGTACTAGCCCCAGTACATGTGTGCTCAACTTTGAGATCTTAAGGTTGGGTAAGAATTAAATTACATAATATATGTAAAATTCTTAGAGCAGCAGCGGGTATCTAGAAAACACTCCCGGAAGGCTAGTTAATATTATTATATTGGGAGAAAGGCATAAAGCTTTTGAAATTGAGCCTGAGTTCAGAGAATCTGAGATGTCTGGTCAGAAAGAAACATGTAAAAAGGGTGAGAGGGCAATGACCACAGCCCCACATCCTTGAATCCTGTGGTTGTTTCAGGAACCCTGAGGTGCGTGAGGACATCCTGAGTGGAGGATACCTCAGGGGAGCTGAAGGAACAGGAGAACAGCCCTGGCACTCCCTGCCCAGGCTCACCTCCTCCTGCAGAACTAAGCCAGGGCTGAGCAGTTCCTTGAAAGAGGCTGCTCTTTGAAAGCCTTGTACATTTCTGAAGGCTGCCAAGAGAATGTGTGGCTGAAACCAGAGTGGGGACCCGTGCTTCCTTGAGGTGGTGCCCAGGGTAAACCTGAGATAGAGAAGTTAATCCTTTCTTCCTGCTCCGTGCTCCCATACCCACTCTTGATGGCCCTCTTGGACAGGATCTAAAACAGCCCCACACAGACTTTCTCTTGAGTGGCTGACATCTGGTCTCTAGAAAATACTCAAGTAATACTTGTCTGGCAAATTCCTGGAGTACGGGTCACACCCAGCAGCTGACTACTTTCTCCTTGGCTCTGAGGCCATGACAGCTATCCAGTCTAGTGTGGGTCCATTTGAATTCTAAAGTGTGTGTGGCCTGGCCACCCCACAGCAGGGGGTGCATAGCAGGCTCTTCTCATGGTCTTCTTCAGACACCTCTCCCTTGTCTTGCATACCTGTCCTCATGGAAGGATGTGGTCTATGAGCAGATTGGGGGTTGGTGGGGTGGGAGGAAATGGAATATTTTCTGAAAGAAGATCATTTTCGGAAATTGTTTTAAAGTTAGGCCAGGTGTGGTCACTCACACCTGTAGTCCCAGCAATTTGGGATGCCAAGGCAGGAAGAACGCTTGAGGTTAAGAGTTTGAAACCAGCCTGGACAACATAGTGAGACCATGTGTCTGAAAAAAAAGAAGAAGAAGAAGAAAGAAAGAAAACTTAGCTGAGCATGATGATATGTTCCTATAGTCTCAGCAACTTGGGAGGCTGAGGCAGGAGGATCGCTTGAGTCCAGGAGTTCTAGGCTGCAGTGAGCCATGGTCACAACATTGCACTTCAGCCTGGGTGAAAAAGTGAGACTCTGTCTCTGAAGATAAATAAATTAGTTAATTAAAGCACTATGCCAATAAGGTAATTTTTAAGACAATGCTAAAAAGAAATTAGAGGTAGTGAATGCAATGTATCATTGAAGGATCCAGTGAAAACCAAGAGACAAGTGGAACAGGTGGTCTGGCTTTGAATGTGCTTACACTTGGAATAATCCACAGCACTGGCACCCTCTGATGTTGAAGCCTGGCTCTTCCTGAGCCTGGACGCACATGTCCAGGCACAGGCCAGGAGAGAAACATTTGCTGGAGTTTCCCCTGAGCTTCTGCACTTGGCCACCTTAGAACCATTGCTATTACAGAGGCAGTTTTAAGGACCCCAGATAAAAGATTTGACTGAAGGAGAAGAAGCACCAGCATCCACAGTTGAGTCCGTGCTTCCCAGAGTGCCAAGGGCTTTTTATACAAAATTTCATGCCACCCTCAATGCAGCTTGATATCTTAATTCACGAGATAATATTTTTGCTCTTCTCTCTTCATTGCTATCTCTGCCTTGAATGTCCATTTCCTGGATCTTCAAGTTTGCAGATCCCCCTGTCCACACAGACTCAATCCAAACCCTATCCTTTCCAGAAAGCCTCCTGTGGTTCCTTTTCCACTACTACTACCAGCTACAGTCAGAAATAACTTCATCACATACTTATTCATTCTGTGCCATAGCTTCCTCATCTATAAGATGGGCATAATATTAATACCTTCTCCATATGATTATTGTGGGAATTAGGAAGAGCACTTAGAATTAAGCTTAGCATATAAACAAAGTTTAATAATGATAATGATAATATTTATAGTTGTTGTCAATGGATATAATTTATCTTCTTTGCTACACTCACTGTAGGATTTTGGAGGCAGGGTACGAATTCATCTCTGAACCCAGAGGCTACCAATCAGACTTGATGCCCAACAGATACTCAGGCTCAGTAAAATGTTTGATGAATGAGAGTGGAGGAGTGTCAGACGCCAGCGACAAGAGCAATCTTTGAGCCAACAGACTCCCCACTCATTAACCCTCCATCTGCCTGGCCAACTTTATGGGCCACCTATCACTACGTGGCTATTGTTCAAAGCCAGCCAAACTATCCTGGTGCTGGCTGCTGGCAGCCTTGACTTCAAGCAGCCGCCAGAGAGGCTGCTACATATGCTGATAGCATCATCGAAGCTCCCTTCAGGGGTCTGCTTCTCTGGGGCTGGTACAGATGAAACCTGTGCCCCTGGCAAAGTGGGGGCCTGGTCTTCCTGCAATCCCAGCCCTGCTTGGACACCTATTACAGCAATGAGCACGGCACGTTTGACTTCTTGCCTTGTCTCTCACGCTTCTCAACGCGGACGATTCGTAATGGATGTCAGACTTTGAATTTCTTATCATGTTGTTTATATCTAATAAGTGAATTGCCCTGTTTTTTTAAAAGTCAGCTTTTAAAATACTGTGTTTGAACATCTGTCAAGGGCTGGGGATTAGCTGAATAGGCACTGGATGCCAGGATATTATATTCTCTCTTATCCTTTATACTGTAATTATCTTGATCCTCAAACAACTCAGCACCAGTTACAACCACTTTCGCAGACTTGTTGTTGCTGCAAATTCAAAAAATTATTTTATTTGAATCTAAATTAAACTGATATGTAACAAGGTTTTTTTTTCCCTGCTAAGTCTCAAAAAACAGTATCTGCAGATGATTAAAAAACAGTAAAACACGGACAATTTCAAAGTTTATTTCAAGAATAAACTCATGAAAATTCATCTAATTATGCAGCAGTGTACCAAAAATAATCTTTTCCAAACCTAAATTTGTTTAACAAAACACACAGTCAGCTAAGCCAAATGAAAGCAAACGTGTGTTTATGCCATAGTAACCCCCTCCCCCTGGCTGCTCGAGTGGGCACGAGGGCTTGGCAGGGTCCTGAAGCCTGTTGGCGGCTTCTGAGTCCTGACACTTTGCTTACTGGTGTTTCCAACTAGGGGGCCATTGGCTCCACTGGTCACAGAAATGGACCCTGTTGCTGCTTGTGTAAGTGGTCTCTGTTTCTGGCATGTGGAGAGCTGAAGCAGGGAGGACAGAGCTCTTTACTCTCAACAATTCAGGGAGAAGAAGAAACTACTAAAACATCGTGCACATAACCGCAGGCAGAGTGGTACTGTGTCTGCCAATGATTAATAGTAATAGTGAGAATAGCTACTGTTTATTGAGCCCTTGCGCTGCACCAGGTATTCATTTAGGAGTCTCACTTTCTTCATTTTTTTCAACTGACCGATATAACAAAATAACTGGAACCCAGTCATCATGACCCCTACTTTACAGATGTAGAAGCTGAGGTTTAAAGGGAAACAGCCAGCCTAAGATCACACAAGTAATTGGCTGAGCTGAGATTTGAATCTGTCTGACTTCGAACACAATGTGTTTAAACTGTCATAGCATATTGTGTTGGCTCAGGCCTGGGCCAGCTTCTGGAAAGCAGAAATCTGGGAATCCATGGGAATCCAAGCTCTCCCATCCTAGACAAGTTCCTGGTAACTTTCTGGATCTCAGTGTATTCATCTGTAAAGTGGAGAATGCAATACTTAAGACATAGTAAAAATTAAAAAGTCATAAAATATGACTATTCAGTTAGATGATACATCCTCAGAGGGCAAGAAGTATGTTATTTGTTTGTAATTGTAACCCTAGTACCCCCCATAATAATACCTCTCACAGTGTTTGACATATAAAAGAGTAGGAGTGAAATCATAAGACAAGCTTCCTTCCTATAACTTGTTTACAGTTTATTTGGAAAGAAAAAGCAAGTGTGAGCAGATGAAAGAACAAGCCCGGTGAACATGTCATCGCGGAGATGCTAATTAGCTGCCAGATTGGTGACCTAGCAATAATGTCATACTGGACTTGTCCCCACCAAGCATTAGAAAGTTGGGTTCTGGCCCCAGTGCCACAACTTCTTAACTGTGCAGGTTTTTGAACTTCTCTGAACTTCTGTAGGAGAGGAATCATAACGATCTAACTTTCCTTTTCTCCTTGTACTATTGTGAAGTCTGGAAAATACTGTCACATGCTTTATGAAATGTCATGGCCACCAGCATTTTTGGCAGGAAGAGCAGGGATGAAGCTGAACTCTATGGAGGAAATGGCTAGAGGTCCTAGCTGTGGACGGGGAGCCACACTTTGCTATAGATTAGAATGTATTCCAGAAGGAAAACTAAAATCAAGGATCTGTGTCAAGTTCAACCCCTATGTTTCTAGAGGCCTCTGGAATCCTGGGCGTTGTCACTCAATATCACTAGCCAGTAGGAATATTAGGCACTCACTAAATATTTTTAAAATTAAGTTCATTTGTCCTAATTGGAATAATGGAATTGAATTATATTGAATGCAAGGGCTTCAAAAAGCCCAGTTAAAATCCACCTGCCACCCAATCACATAAAATCGTCAAAACAACTTTCTTCACTAAGTTCCATGGTCTGTGCTTCTGCTATTCTTTTCTCTAACTGAGGCAGAGTGCAAGGGGAAGGCATGGCTTCTGGAAGGGAATGATAGGAGGACACATGCATGGATACCAGGAAGAATTTTTCTCCCCCAGGAGCAAGAACCTGGGATTTCTAGGGATACAGAAAGGAGACCTCACATCCCTCAAATTCACTGGCACATGCTTCCCTAAATTGCCTTAACAAGTGAAGCTCCGTTAATCTCAGCATTCATCTGTTAATTCACCAAACATTTTTGGTCCTTGCTGTGTACCTTGGCATCATGCTAATCCTTGGGTCTTAAGGCTTTTCAGATTTTCTATTTCCCTTATCTTGGGCAAGTCCCTTAAACTTTCCTATCCTCAGTTTATATATCTATAAAATAGACATCATTTTTTATGCCTCCCAGAGTTGGTAGGAGGAACAAATGAGATTCAAATACTTCACACGCTGTCTGACATTTAACAATTACTTTAAAAGAAATAGTCATTAAAGAATTAAAGATGTTTTAAAAAAAGAAATAAAGGTCTCTGGATCTAATAATGTGATGTCATGGAAGGAACTAGCTATAGTTGGAAGTTGAAAGTAATGCATACACGTGTAAAAAAAAAAAAAAAAAAAAAAAAAAAAAAAAAAAAAAAAAAAAGGACCTGACTGCTGATTGTGCTAGTCCCCTGCCCGAAAACCAACCACTGCCTGTCATCCACTCCCAAAGAGCCGCAACTCCTGAGAGCCTAGCTACCTCTCCAGACCCATCTCTTACAGCCCTGCTCCCTAACCCCAACCTGTGCCCTGCTCTTACACCACACGTGGATTTGAATGGCTAGTTCTTGAAGAAAACATATTCTCTCAGGCCTCCCTGGCTTTGCATACACTATTCCCTCTGCTTGGAGAAGCCCCAGTAATTTGACAAGAGCTCGCTGGATGTCAGCCCCTCTGGGAGCTCTCCCAGTGTTGCCTTTTTATCAGGGCTGAGTTTTGTTTTCTTCTCTGATCCCTGTAGCACTTGGGCAAAGAGCTGATGCAGAGTTCATTTTGTGAAGCTGTGACCAGTTTTCCAGTAGACCGTGAGCTTGCTGAGGGAAGGAGGCTGCCTGTCTTTGATCTTTGTTTCCGTGGGGTTTAGCCGGGTGCCTGGCACAGCAGCTTTGGAGATGGAAGGGATGGAGGGAGGTAACTGCACAGGTAGGAAGAGTTCAAGTGCTCTGTTCTTACAGGGGGTGTAGGGATGATTCAGAATTAGTTATTTGGCCGGGCGCGGTGGCTCAAGCCTGTAATCCCAGCACTTTGGGAGGCCAAGGCAGGTGGATCACGAGGTCGAGAGATCGAGATCATCCTGGTCAACATGGTGAAACCCCGTCTCTACTAAAAAAAATTAGCTGGGCATGGTGGCATGTGCCTGTAATCCCAGCTACTCAGGAGGCTGAGGCAGGAGAATTGCCTGAACCCAGGAGGCGGAGGTTGCGGTGAGCCGAGATCGCGCCATTGCACTCCAGCCTGGGTGACAAGAGCGAAACTCCGACTCAAAAAAAAAAAAAAACAAAAAACAAAAAACAAAAAACCACCAGAATTAGTTATTTAGAATAACCTGGAGAAACTCTGAAAACAAAACAAAACACACATATAGTTCCTGCCTCCCAAGAGTCTGCTGTCATATGGGCCTCAGGCAAAAATGGATTTACCTTGACAATAGCGGAGTTTATACTTCAAGACCCTTCACTTGCACAGTTCCTTCCAGGGACCTGGGAGAAGCTCCAGCAACTCCTTTTTTAACTTTCAGACAGGGTCTTGCTCTCTTGACCAGCCTGGAGGGCAATGGTGCGATCTCAGCTCACTGCAACCTCCACCTCCCGGGCTCAAGCGATCTTCCCACCTCAGCTTCCCAAGTAGCTGGGACAGGTATCAATTTCTTATTCATAACTTTATATGTATATTTTAAAAAGGACTCTCTGTATGGAGTGAGCTCAGGTCCCACAAAACCTGGATCAACCTCTGGCCCCAGGATCCATAGTTTCAGTAAACTTAACAAGTGATTCTGATACACAGCCAGATTGGGAGATGACCTGCTACTCAGTGTGTAATTCACAGGCCAGAAGCATCAGGAAACATCATAGTTGGGCAAGTCGGAAATGCAGAATCTCAGATCCTATCCCTGACCTACTCTCTGTGAATCTGCATTTTAACAAAATCTCTGGGCTGATTCATGCGCAAAAATTCACATTCAGAATAAAGTTATGAATTGCTGCTGTAATGATTTCTCTGAGAGAAAAACGATTTCCAGCTGTAAAATCACAGAGGCCTTCTTGGAGGAGGTGATCTCTGAACCAGGACCTAAAGTAGAGGCAGTATTTGGGTATGTGAAGTACTTTAGCAGAAGCAGCAGCAAGCAGCAACAGTGGAATCCTGGAGATGGGGAATATGAGGAGGCGTTCAGTAGACCAGGGCCTTTGGGCTGGAATGAGACAAGACAACCACAGGTAAGTTGAGTCCGGTGGTAGGTAGGGAGAGAGGCAGGCTGGGGAAAAGCCCACGTGCTGGGTTAAGGTCTTTGGATTCTAATTAGGTAGGAATGTGGAGCCTTGGTGTTTGGGTCCAGAAGATATGAGAGATTCAGCTGCAAAAGCAAAACATCCTCTGGAAGAGGGAAGCCAGTCATAGTATTTATTAATGCTCAGGTACAGATTATTAATGCCCAAGCCTTGCCTGGAAGATGTCTAAGAAGGGAAGGGGCAGGAAGCCAGAAACAAGGACTGAGAATTCATGAGGGAGGTACTCATATTTTTTCCCATTCTGCAGGGTTGGTGAGAGTCTCAATGGCACTCCCATCCTTGGCACTGCAGAGTCAGGATATTTGCTGATTGTGGCTTACAGAGAGGAAGGATCTGGGTGTGGTCCAGGGTGAGTCCTGTGAATTCCCATCACTCCTGCTCCCTGCAGGCTCCACGTCTGCAGCTTCCGGTGTTCCATTCATTCCTGCAGCCCAAACAAAACCTACCTACAGGATTGTTAGAAGGACTAAAGGGCATAATATAGCAAAGTACCAGAAATATATTGGGACCTGAAAAAAAATTCATGTAATCCTTTGAAACTTGAGTCAGAACTCATGGGTCATCCACTTTCCTATGCTATCACGTGGTTCCAGTTATAACAGATAGTGGATTTTCAATGAATGCTTAATCATAAAATGCCCAAAATACCAGCTATAGGAAATTCATCATTTGGCCTTAGAGTAGGTTTTGTCAAGGCTTGAAGTCATATACACACTTTAATAACACACATTAATAGTAATTTAATGAGCATTTACTACATGTTGATCATTGTGATAAGCATCTTACAGTACATCATCTCATTTTGTCCCATCATAAGATGAGGAAAGGGAAGCTTGGAGATATTGATTGTCTTACTCAAAAGTTCTATTACTACGAAGAGGCAGAGCAGGAAATAGAAGTCAACATTAGGGTGAGATCAAAGCAAGTGCTCACCTGCAAAGCTTCCTATGGGTGCCACAGGTGAAACAGGTTTCATTAGGAAATGTACATTTGGCTTCCCCTCTCCATCTCATTTCAAATGTTAGGAAGAGTCAGCATCACATTTCATGTAGATAGAATTGTGGACTCAGAGTCAGACATAGAGAAAACATAAGCATGATCGAGTTCAATGCTGCTCCCTTACAGAGGCAGAAATGGAGGCGCAGAGAGGTGGCTTACTTGCCCACGGTAACATAGGATGAGAGTGTCTTACCTCTTATAGCTCGTACGTTAAGATAAAAACAAACATTTGAAAACATAGATTATCTTGTTTTGTTCTATCCTCGCTTCTTCACATCCTGTCCCAGGCGTCAGCTCTCTCCTTCCTTTCTTTTTTCTTTACTCATTTATGTATTGGTTCAGCAAATATTTATTGATGTACTATTGTGAAATAAGTTACATTCAGGGAAGAGACCGGAATTTAAGAAGAATCAGTAATAAACAAGAGAGAAAAAAGAAAAGTAAAGAAAAGAACAAAAAAGTACAGAGAAAGAAATGGAGAGAGAAATGCAGAAAAAGAGAGAAGGAAGGAAGGGAGGGAGGGAGTGAAGGAGGGAGTGAGGGGAAAAGGGAGGGAGGGAGGGAGGGAAAGAGGGAGGGAGGGAAGGGACACTATCAACTGATCACTTTCTATTGGACAGGCACTTTTCTAAGCATTTTACATGTATTAACTCATTTAATTCACCCAGAAACCCTGTATGGTAGTCACTATTCTTATCTCCAATTTACAATGAGGAGCCTGTGGCACAGAGACCTGAAATAAATTGCCCAAGGTCAGAGGGCTGGAAGGTGGCAAGGCCAATATGCAAACCTGGCAGATCTGGCTCTAGAGGCTTTACTTGGGACCTATGCATGTAATCGTATTGTAATGTACTCTATTTGCTCTGATGGCCACTGGAAGTGGATTAGATACTTACAGTAAGAACATTAGTGTTCCTGAGGGTCTTTATCATTTTTTTCTCAATAGAGAACCATCATCACAATTTGTCATGGACCATCAGTGCCCATGGTGTGAAAGGAGAAATGTATTGCACATAGAACCATCTAGCAGAGGAGCCCGAAGGGAAGAGGATCATGGAATTTAGAGCCATGGGACCTGGGGTTTAGCTGCGTCCCTGCCACTCCCTAGTTATGCCATGGGACGAGTCAATCCATCTCTTTAACCGTCTGGCTCCTCATGTGGAAAATAAAAATTGTAGTTGATTCGACCCTATCTACTTCGGAAAATCAAATTGAGGTGTAAGTAGTTTATAACATCAAAGGGCAAAACCAGTGTGAGATCAAACACAACCATCAGTCTTCTCTCCTTAATTTTGTGTAGATGTTTATTAAAACAGAAAGAAAGAAACTCTGTGGGGGTGGGGGTGCTGAATTTAGAATGAGGATAATAGAGAAAACCCAAAAATGAAGGTTTAAATAATGAGCTTCCAGTGGTTAAGGGAAAGAAGGGGGATTATTTGGGAAGAACCAGAAAGGGCCCTGTGGATGGTCAACTGCTTTGGATAAATGGATGGTTACAGTCATTCATTCATCCATCCATTCGTTCATTCAATTAGTATTTACTGAGTGCCTCCTGTGTACCAATGACAGTGCTACATACTGGGGTACAGTTCTTTAGAGAACAGACACAATCCTGGTCCTCATGGAGCTTGCGGTATGCAGAAAGTCAGACACTGAACAAATATGTACAGCATTTAAATACATAATAATAAACTGGGATACATGCTGTGAGACCAAGGAAAAGAAGAATCTTCTATAAGAGAGAAAAACAGTATTGGGTAGGTGAGGACACACTGAAAGACTCAATGCCCTAGTTTTCCCATTATTCCTCCCCACCACCCACCAACTGCTATTTGAAAGGCTATAGGTCTCTGCTACATACAGACATGTACTACCTCAATTTAATGAGCCATCTTTTGAGTCCCCAATAAAAATATGTGGGTATATCCCCAGGTGTCAGGTGTTGGGCTGCCTTCACGGTCAGCCCTGGCTGCAGCCCCCTTTGATGGAATCCCTGCATATCGTTTTTATTCCTATTTTACAGATTTTAAAAATGCTCACAATAGTTCAATGATTCATCCAAGACAACACAGCTAGAAAATCCAGACCAGTGTTCAAGACTTTCGATAGCAAATCAAGGGCTCTTTCTGTTCACACTTAGAATAAAATCCTAACCACAAGGTCCAGGATGTCATAGCTTCAGCCAGCTCTTGCTACCTCCCTCTTCTTTACCGGGCTTTATCCACACAGGCCTTCCCAGGATGCAAAAAGATTTCCCCTGCGTCAGGGGCTCTGCATCAGCTCTTCTTTCCTATATCTGGAATGCTCTTCCTTGATTTTTTACTTGGCTACCATTTTTCAATTTTAAATCAACTTTATTGAAGCATACTTAAAATTTTTTTATTTTAATTTTTTCGATGGAGTTTTGCTCTTGTTGCCCGGGCTGGAGTGCAATGGCATGATCTCGGCTCACTGCAACCTCTGCCTCCTGGGTTCAGGCAATTGTCCTGCTTCAGCCTCCCAAGTAGCTGGGATTACAGGTGCACGCCACCATGCCCAGCTACTTTTTGTATTTGTAGAAGAGACAGGGTTTCATCATGTTAACCAGGCTGGTCGTGAACTCCTGACATCAGGTGATCCACCCAC